AACCTTGAAGATTGACATCTCCAAGTATAGGGGGGTCGAAGAAGACTCCCTCTTGAGATGGTTCATCGAATTGGATGACGCCATAAGGGCGCGTCGCATCGACGACGGGGATATGCAAGTTGCATTTGCCCAGTCAAATCTGGCAGGACGTGCCAAGACTTGGGCACTGGGGCTCAAGTTGCACGACCCACATGCGTTTGGGTCGTTGGAAGTCTTCAAGTCGCGGCTCAGACAAACGTTTGAACCGCCTAGAGCTGAGTTCAGAGCTCGAACCGAACTCTTGAAGCTCAAACAGGGTAAGCGTGATGTGCACGCTTACGCTCAACATATACGACATCTCACGAGTTGTATAAGTTCCAATCCGGTGGATGAACACACGTTGGTTTCGGTGTTCATGCAGGGTCTTGCGGATGGTCCCGTCAAGACTCACCTGTTCCGGCTTGAACTAGATTCACTAGAACAAGCCATTTCCATTGCGGAGCAGGAAGACTTCAGTCTGAGACAGGCTCGCGCCAGCTCGACATCATATCGTCAACCGAGACGATATGACAACGGAGGTCCAGAGCCGATGGAACTCTGTTATGTAGAGAGCGAGAAGGCTCGCTCTACAGACTACAAGAAGTTGCAGAAATGCAACAGATGTCAAAAGACAGGACACTGCGCTTACGAGTGTAGTGCCCCTCGTCCAGTGTCTCGCAACACTGGGCGTAGTGACCGTCCACCCATGAGAAAGGGGCAGGGACGAGGGTCCGCAGTTGGTGCAAAGACGCAACAACGGGATGGACCGTCAAAAAACGGACAGGATCAGTAGGTGCGGAGAACCCTACTGGTCCAGCAACGTCAAGATAATTTGTGGGCCTCTTGATGAAGGTTGCTCCCAGCACACAAACGTTGTGCGTTGCTGCTCTAGGTAATGAGGTCTCACTCATTACCTTGAAACTCGAAGTGACGAATAAGTTGTCCCTTCGAGCTCTAGTCGATTGTGGGGCGTCCAACAATTTTGTGCGACGCCAATCGCTAGAAGATGGTCACTTTAAATTCAGTGAATGTGACACACCTCCTACGAGGATGACGGTACGTCTTGCGACAGGCGCATCCGTAACCGTCATGAAGCGTATAGTGAAGATCCACTATACGCTAGAAGATACCCAATATGATGATGACTTTATCGTATTGGATTTGGATGACAAATTTAATGTCATCCTTGGAATACCGTGGCTCAGAAGGTACGAACCACGGGTAAACTGGCAACATCGAACAGTAACGATGCCTGCCGCTTGTTCATCAGATGGCCATCTGATGAACGTTTCGGAGCGTCCTCAAGCGTGTGGATGTACTACGAGTGAGTGCGATGGCCTCACTTGTGGTACGGTCGTTAGTACGACTGCACAAAACCTTAGTGTACCAAACGGTTACACTTCGGAGCAAAGTTCCGGCGGCTGTGAGGAAACACAGGCTGCGCCGAAGGTCCACCACTCGAAAAGTCGAGTGGACCGGGACAAAGATGTATCCCTAGCGGGGAACATCTAGAAGATAAACAATCGATCGCTCAGGTTAAGCGAAACGATAATCCTAGATTGACTGGAGAGTCTTTCGTAGAGGATCTCGCTGTGGTTGCGCAACCCCAGCTAGAGGAAGTAAAGGGAATAAGTCCCAATATTACAAATACGGTGGAAATAAGTCCCCGAAACCCGCGGGAATAAGTCCCCGGGAAGCCGAAGGAATAAGTCCTTCGAAGCCTGAGGGAATAAGTCCCCAGGAAATGACAGAGACATTGAATGTCATAGTCAATAACGGATCAAGTGTAGGCGCTTTTACACTTGATCTGATTGCGCCTCCGAAGTTAACTTCGGAGATCACTCAGTTGCCAACGCTTGAACATAAAAGGTTCTTGCGTGATCTGCGTAGTGGCAAAGTCAAGCAGATCTGCGTACTCGTCGCTGACGACGAGTGTGTAACCGACATAAGGTCAGCAACAGTGTTCACTGAGAACGAGAGAGTTCTCAGTAGTTCATCTATGGACGAGAGTGTCCTAGATGAAAGGCACGAATTGAGCGATATGACTCCCAATCGTGGGAATCGCTCAAGAAAAATCCTCTCTATGAAGATTTGGTTGAATTCAAGGATGTATTCCCTGAAACTGTTCCGTGCGAATTACCGAAGGATAAAGGTATTCGACACGAGGTCGAGCTTAAACCAGGCTCGAAGTACTGTATCATGAAGCAGTGGCCACTGCCTCGTGAACAAGTACTTACGATCGACAAGTTCTTTGCCGATCGTTTAGCTGCAGGCCATGTGAGAGAATCAACTTCCCCACATAGCTCTCCGACCTTCTGTGTGCGAAAAGCAACAGGAGGGTGGCGGATAGTGCATGCATTTAACAAGTTGAATGCTGCAACGGTACCGGCTCGGACGCCGATACTAAGGAACGACGTAATCATTGATGGTATGTCAAAGAGTACCATCTTTTCGTCCATGGATTTGATGGATGGCTTCTATCAAATCCTTATGCGGGAACAGGATATACCCTATACCGCAGTTAGCACGCTTAGCGGCATGCTCTGGGAGTGGCTAGTAATGCCACAAGGGCTTAGTAATGCCCCTGCCACGTTCAACAGATGTGTATCACATCTGTTGAGACCAATACGAGAATTCGCGCCGAGTTATTTCGATGACGTATTCATCCATAGTCGAGCTATGGATGGAAAGTCGGACGTTGAGGTTCACAGATACCACGTCCGACAGGTTCTTACAATCATGCGAAAGCATCAATTGTATGCAAACCTCAAGAAGTGTATATTTGCAGCAAGCGAAATACCACTTCTTGGGTGCATCGTTGGTAAGAACGGTGTACGTCCTGATCCCGAAAAGATCAAGGCGATCACCGACTGGCCTGTGCCGGTTGATGTCAAAGGTCTTCGAAAATTCCTTAGGCTAGCGGCGTATTTGCACAAGTATTCACGCAATTACGCCGAAATGACTGTGCACCTCTCTCGTTTGTTGAAAAAGAACGAGAGGTGGTTATGGAACGCTGAATGTCAACGCTCCTTTGAGGGTATCAAGTAGAGCTTGATACAATCCCCAGTCCTAGCAATAGCCGATCAGGACAGGCCGTTTCATGTGGTCTGTGATGCCAGCGATTTTGCAATCGGCTGTGCATTAATGCAGTACGATCTTGAAGGCGTTGAACGCGTCGTCTGCTATCAGTCGCGTCAGCTGCAACCAGCTGAGCGGAACTATCCAGTGCATGACAAGGAAATCCTTGCCGTGAAGTATGCACTCGCGAAGTTCAGAGTCTATCTATTAGGAGATAGACCCTTCGTTGTTTACACTGACCATGCGTCATTACGCACGGCAGTGAACAGCCCGCACCTTTCACAACGAATGGCGCGGTGGTTGTCATTCTTTGCGGAATACAACTTTACAGTCGAGTACAAACCAGGACGACTTAATGTCGTCGCTGATGCACTCTCACGTCGTCCCGACTTTGAAACAGTCGCGAAACCCAACAGTGAGACAGTCACTGTTGCGGTTATGACGTCCTCAGTCCCATCTACAACGTTGTATGATGATTTGAGGCGGGCATACGCCCAAGATGGTGAGATAGTGAAGTTGTTGTCACATCTCTCCCAACCATCTCGAGAATCGTTGAAATGATTGTCGTCTGCGTATCGATCTGCATCAGATCGATACACTACTCGTAACGGTTTACTGTATACAGCCGTTTCTGGTGACACACCACGTGTTGTCATTCCAGATGATACTGATCTGCGTTTGCGGATCATGTTCGAGTATCACGATGCTCCTATAGGAGGACATCGTGGCCGCGAGAAAAACATATCTCACGGTAAGTCGAGACTTTTACTGGCCCCGCCAGTATCAGTTTGTGCGAAAGTATGTTCGCGCATGCGAAGTCTGTCAACGAGTGAAGTCAAGTCCTTCACTGCGTGCACCTTTACAGCCTCTACCGGTTCCGGCTGAGTGCTGGGAATCCATCTCAATGGATTTTGTCTTCGGGTTACCCAAAGACGCACGCGGGAATACGGGTATTCTCGTTTTTGCTGACAGATTCAGCAAAATGGTACACCTTGTGGCTGTACCAGAGACAATCACGGCAAGTGGCTGTGCTTGTGTCTTTATTGACACCATCTTCCGACTTCATGGGTTGCCCCGTGAACTCGTATCAGACAGAGATCCACGATTCACTGCTGATTTCTGGCGTTCCGTGTTCAAATCACTCGGAACGCGCTTGAAGATGTCGACATCTGATCATCCAGAGTCAGATGGTCAGACGGAACGTGCCAATCGTGTCCTTGAAGAGATACTTCGAGGATACGTACACTCCTTTAAGAGTTGGAGTGAGTTTTTGCCAATGGTAGAGTTTGCCATCAACAACTCGGTGCATGCGTCCACGACACATACGCCGTTTTACGTGAATGGCTTGCGCCATCCGCGTGTACCCACCTTACTAGAGTGTAACTCTGGTTTAAGGGGGGGAGGGACTCGCGCGAGCAAAAACCGATTTAGTTCACGCTCATCACGCTCTGACGAAGAAGTCATTGCGTTTGATGCCGATATCGATAACATCGATATCGAAGAAGATGATCCCAGTGAGAGTGCGGAAGCCCTCACTGAAGAAAAGGTTGATGTTGCTGCAGTGCGCTCACAGCGCACTGAAGCTAACGAGTCATCAGATGAGTTCATACTGGCTCGTGAAACGGTAGTCCGTTTTGTGCAAGACTCCATCGCTGAAGCGGTGGATAAGCAAAAGCAAAACGCTGACAAGAATGGAAGGGCAAACACTCTTTTATTTAATAAAGGTGACTTAGTCCTACTGTCTACGGTTAATCTACCAAAGCATGTAGTGACTTACTTGGGTAGCAGTAAACTACTACCCAAGTACATCGGCCCATTTCGTGTATTGCACCGCCTAGGCAATGCATACACGATCGAGTTACCACGTAAGATGCGAACGCATCTCACGTTTTACGTTGGTCGGCTTAAGCCGTACCATCAGTACGCTGCTTCTTCCGATGAAGAACGCCCTTGCGCTCAAGCATCTCGCAGAGAGCCTTGTGCTCCCGATGGTGGGCATCAACAAGGGTCTGAAGAGCAGCTATCTCATCCCGAGACCGATCAGCAATCCCACGAGCTACCCTTAGCTCGTCACGAAGAGGTGTCAGAGATCTCTCGTTCTCAAGCTGAGCAAAGGCAAACTCAGCTCGATGCTTCGAGGCAGTGTCCACCATCTGGAGACGCCTATTCCGCTCATGCTCGAGATCGTCGCGTAACCCTTGCGTTACGCGATCAAAAAAGCTCTCGGGAACACACCGATCCACATGATCGTGTGGAGAGCGTCTTTCCTCCTCCTCCACCTCCATTAGAGGACTCTCGCGGTGGCCAGCGCTATCTAGTAGAGCAGCTGTTGAACCACCGCGACGTGAACGGACGTCGGACGAGTTATCTCGTCCGGTGGCGCGGCTATCCCCCGTCCTGGGATTCTTGGGAGCCCCGCTCCCAATTGATGGTTGACGTACTGGGTCTGGTCGAGCAGTACGACGCGACACATCCTGTGCCGCAGAAGGACCGCCGGAGAAAGTCTTCCCGGCACGGTCGTAAAGGGATTTCAGGTTGTCAATCCCTTCGTACATCTCAGTAGAGACACGTACGCGCCACCACGGGCTGGTAAGGAGGTAAGCCTCCTTAGGTGCTCGTGCAGAGTTGTTCACACAACATGGGCACGAGTCTCCCCAAGAGAGGCAGGGTAATCCTTTCTCCCTTGACAGACGATGCAGCTTATAGCGTGCACCTGTCGGGGTTCGCTTTTCAAACTTATCACGAGCTTTGATAAGTTTGTCGTTCCCAAGCGTCACGACCTACATCCTCGAGATTATGGATGTAGGCGTTCCACGCTTGAAGTAGTGAGGACCATCACGTTTGTGATTCCCCCTGTACCATCGATGTCTAAAGAAAGCATCGATGAAGAAATCATGTTCAGCGCGATAGTTTTTCGCGCTGGGGTCAAGGTGATGGATCCTTGACGAATCGAACAATCGTGTTCGATAACGATCACTCGTCGTCGCCGGCAAGTGATCCATGACGGATTTGGGAGGCATCCATGCCTTCTTCTCAGGAGCGAGACGCAACACATTGCGGTCCCGCTCTTCCTGCGACGTGCCGACAGAAGTACTGGCACCTCGCTGTGAAGTGGTGTCCATAGGAGAACCGACACCACTATTAGCGCCCGAGTCTCGCGACCTCGAGCGCCTTCGCTTCGGCGATGATTCATCTGATTCATCAGATGAACCAAAGATGCTGCGACGCAAAGCATCGTCCATGCCACGCTTGGCAGGCGGCTTGGATTCAATCGCCATCGATACGGATCCGTCATCCGTATCAGGAGAGTACGAGACACCGAGCTCGTACTCTGTGAAGACACGAGTGTCTTCATGACCAGCGCCTGCATCACCAAGTGACACAGGCTGGGTCGCTTCAGCAACCGATGAGACATCAGTTGCTGTAGTTTCTGCTTCGGCGTCCGCACAGAGACGTGAAGACGCGCTCTCGGCGGCCTTGCTCGCGCATCGCATGGGCTTGTTAGCCATGCGATGAAGTGTTGGAAAGTGGACTCGGACCAACAAGTGCGAACCCCGTCCCGACTGATTTGGGACGAGTATCCATTTAGTCAATCAGTCACTAAAGTGACTGATGGTTAAGGGGGGGTGATGTAACGGGGTGAATCGTTGCATAACAATTTATAAGAAATTGTTAATAGAATATAACTATACGAGTTATATTCTCAGAATATTGTCATAAGGACAAATATTCTGCAGCACTTACAGTAGTTCCTAATCGGTTGGTATAGGCTATTATATTAACCAACGAAGACGCGCCACGACAGACGCACGCAATGAGTGGTGAGCAGATAGTTGATTTACACATTTGTATTTAGACATAGTTAGATGAAGATAAATAGTGATTTATTGCAGACATTAACTATACTAAATACAGTTCTACTTTTACTCTAACCAAGTACTCGCTTCTTCTTACCGTCTTCCTCTGCACGTACCAGTGTACGTGAAGTTACGAGGCACCGCCTTATTCTGTCATCAGAATAAGTAGCTTGTACTGTCACCAGTACAAGCTTCAGGGTGCCCCGTTACACCTGGTAGCACTTCGTAGTCCGTCCAAGGACCACGTTCACATCCAACATGAATGTGTTGGATGATGAAGATGACCAAAGCTTTCACGCTACGCGTGACGGCTACTCCCATTTGAGCGATGTCGAATGGGATGCGGTTGAACGAATGGGTTCAACCATGGGCATCCATGCTGTTAGCGTCATGCTAGAGGGCTCTCAATAGAGATGCCCAACATGCTACTATCACCAAGTTCATTCAAAATGAACTTGACGCAGGAACGCGAGAAAGTATCCTTGCTTCACCAACAAGGTTCTCAACAAGCAGAGTTGTTGAGAGAACAAGGTGCTCAACAGTTTGAACTGTTGAGACAGCAGCAGGCTGCTGCTGGTGGGTCTATGCACTCGCGTCGACCCGAGACTTTGAAGATTGACATCTCCAAGTATAGGGGGGTCGAAGAAGACTCCCTCTTGAGATGGTTCGTCGAATTGGATGACGCCATAAGGGCGCGTCGCATCGACGACGGGGATATGCAAGTTGCATTCGCCCAGTCAAATCTGGTAGGACGTGCCAAGACTTGGGCACTGGGGCTCAAGTTGCACGACCCACATGCGTTTGGGTCGTTGGAAGTCTTCAAGTCGCGGCTCAGACAAACGTTTGAACCGCCTAGAGCTGAGTTCAGAGCTCGAACCGAACTCTTGAAGCTCAAACAGGGTAAGCGTGATGTGCACGCTTACGCCCAACATATACGACATCTTACGAGTTGTATAAGTTCCAATCCGGTGGATGAACACACGTTGGTTTCGGTGTTCATGCAGGGTCTTGCGGATGGTCCCGTCAAGACTCACCTGTTCCGACTTGAACTAGATTCACTAGAGCAAGCCATTTCCATTGCGGAGCAGGAAGACTTCAGTCTGAGACAGGCTCGCGCCAGCTCGACATCATATCGTCAACCGAGACGATATGACAACGGAAGGTCCAGAGCCGATATGCTCTGTTATGTAGAGAGCGAGAAGGCTCGCTCTACAGACTACAAGAAGTTGCAGAGATGCAACAGATGTCAAAAGACAGGACACTACGCTTACGAGTGTAGTGCCCCTCGTCCAGTGTCTCGCAACACTGGGCGTAGTGACCGTCCACCCATGAGAAAGGGGCAGGGACGAGGGTCCGCAGTTGGTGCAAAGACGCAACAACGGGATGGACCGTCAAAAAACGGACAGGATCAGTAGGTGCGGGAGCACCCTACTGGTCTAGCAACGTCAAGAGAATTTGTAGGCCTCTTGATGAAGCTTGCTCCCAACACACAAACGTTGTGCGTTGCTGCTCTAGGTAATGAGGTCTCACTCATTACCTTGAAACTCGAAGTGACGAATAAGTTGTCCCTTCGAGCTCTAGTCGATTGTGGGGCGTCCAACAATTTTGTGCGACGCCAATCGCTAGAAGATGGTCACTTTAAATTCAGTGAATGTGACACACCTCCTACGAGGATGACGGTACGTCTTGCGACAGGCGCATCCGTAACCGTCATGAAGCGTATAGTGAAGATCCACTATACGCTAGAAGATACCCAATATGATGATGACTTTATCGTATTGGATTTGGATGACAAATTTGATGTCATCCTTGGGAATACCGTGGCTCAGAAGGTACGAACCACGGGTAAACTGGCAACATCGAACAGTAACGATGCCTGCCGCTTGTTCATCAGATGGCCATCTGATGAACGTTTCGGAGCGTCCTCAAGCGTGTGGATGTACTACGAGTGAGTGCGATGGCCTCACTTGTGGTACGGTCGTTAGTACGACTGCACAAAACCTTAGTGTACCAAACGGTTACACTTCGGGAGCAAAGTTCCGGCGGCTGTGAGGAAACACAGGCTGCGCCGAAGGTCCACCGCTCGAATAAGTCGGGTGGACTGGGACAAAGATGTATCCCTAGCGGGGAACATCTAGAAGAGAAACAATCAATCGCTCAGGTTAAGCGAAACGATAATCCTAGATTGACTGGAGAGTCTTTCGTAGAGGATCTCGCTGTGGTTGCGCAACCCCAGCTAGAGGAAGTAAAGGGAATAAGTCCCAAGATTACAAATACGGCGGAAATAAGTCCCCGAAACCCGCGGGAATAAGTCCCCGGGAAGCCGAAGGAATAAGTCCTTCGAAGCCTGAGGGAATAAGTCCCCAGGAAATGACAGAGACATTGAATGTCATAGTCAATAACGGATCAAGTGTAGGCGCTTATACACTTGATCTGATTGCGCCTCCGAAGTTAACTTCGGAGATCACTCAGTTGCCAACGCTTGAACATAAAAGGTTCTTGCGTGATCTGCGTAGTGGCAAAGTCAAGCAGATCTGCATACTCGTCGCTGACGACGAGTATGTAACCGACATAAGGTCAGCAACAGTGTTTACTGAGAACGAGAGAGGTTCTCAGTAGTTCATCTATGGACGAGAGTGTCCTAGATGAAAAGACACGAATTGAGCGATATGAGTCCCAATCATGGGAATCGCTCAAGGAAAATCCTCTCTCTATGAAGATTTGGTTGAATTCAAGGATGTATTCCCTGAAACTGTTCCGTGCGAATTACCGAAGGATAAAGGTATTCGACACGAAGTCGAGCTTAAACCAGGCTCGAAGTACTGTGTCATGAAGCAGTGGCCACTGCCTCGTGAACAAGTACTTGCGATCGACAAGTTCTTTGCCGATCGTTTAGCAGCGGGCCATGTGAGGGAATCAACTTCCCCACATAGCTCTCCGACCTTCTGTGTGCGAAAAGCAACAGGAGGGTGGCGGATAGTGCACGCGTTTAACAAATTGAACGCTGCAACGGTACCGGCTCAGACGCCGATACCGAGGAAGGACGTAATCATTGATGGTATGTCAAAGAGTACCATCTTTTCGTCCATGGATTTGATGGATGGCTTCTATCAAATCCTAATGCGGGAACGGGATATACCCTATACCGCAGTTAGCACGCCTAGCGGCATGCTCTGGGAATGGCTAGTAATGCCACAAGGGCTCAGTAATGCCCCTGCCACGTTCAACAGGTGTGTATCACATCTGTTGAGGCCAGTACGAGAATTCGCGCCGAGTTATTTCGATGACGTATTCATCCATAGTCGAGCTATGGATGGAAAGTCGGACGTTGAGGTTCACAGATACCACGTCCGACAGGTTCTTACAATCATGCGAAAGCATCAATTGTATGCAAACCTCAAAAAGTGTATATTTGCAGCAAGCGAAATACCACTTCTTGGGTGCATCGTTGGTAAGAACGGTGTACGTCCTGATCCCGAAAAGATCAAGGCGATCACCGACTGGCCTGTGCCGGTTGATGTCAAAGGTCTTCGAAAATTCCTTGGGCTAGCGGCGTATTTGCATAAGTATTCACGCAATTACGCCGAGATGACTGTGCACCTCTCTCGTTTGTTGAAAAGAACGAGAGGTGGTTATGGAACGCTGAATGCCAACGCTCCTTTGAGGGTATCAAGTAGAGCTTGATACAATCCCCAGTC